GACGCGGCATAATGTAATCGGAACGCACCCTTGGTCGCGATAATGGCACCTGCTGGACTATGTCCTCGTTCGGAGGCGAGACCAGCAGAAGGTGCTGGCAAGAAAGGCGATCCCGGGTGCCGACGGTTGGACCGACCAACGCTTTGTCACCTCCAAGATGAGGATCCACATATAGCCGACCAAGAGACCTCAAGGCAAGCGACCACCAGGCAAGTTGAATACTGCATCGTTGAGTGTGTCTGCTCACCATTCCCATCTCAGCAACGAGTTAGCTCATCGACTAGCCAACCTCTCAGTCGCCGCCGCCGCCACCACCACCACTGATGAGGACGCCTCCGTGTAGAACCGATGGTGCCAACAGAGGGACGCAGTCCATTCAACCGCCCTGGCTGTCCTCGGTCCCGCACGTCGTCAGCACCAGGACCAGTTCGACGACAACGATGCCGGCACTATCAACCTGCTCGCCGAGTGGAACCGACTGCACAAGACCTACATTAACCGCCCTGTCGATGCAAACAAAGCAGCCTTCAACCCTAGTCGCTTTCTTACGTAACAGCGGCTGTGGGAAATACAGAACGTCCGGATGGCTTGTATGACCGAGGAGATCCAAGGGTGCGCTGACCGCAAAGAATGGGAGAACTGTATCGCTGCGATCAAGGCTGCCCACAGTGCCACAGCCAAAGGAACCACTGCTCTTTTCAACGCCGACAGAACTACCCTACTCACTGAGAAGGGACAATTTCTCGAACGATGGGCCGAGACGTCCTCAGCCATCCCACCACCATTTCCGACGTCACCTCAAGTGAAGTCTAATGCCGATCACGACCTCCCGTCCTCTCTCTCCACGAAACCATCAGGGCCGTGCAGTAGCTCTCCAGCGGGAAAGCGCCTAGATCGGACGCGATCCCTGCTGAGATTTATAAGCACAGTAGCCCCCAACTTATGAATTACCTGACAGCGCTCTTCCAGTAGCTGTGGCGTCAGGGACAAGTCCGTCTCTACAAACGGAAAGGAATCCGCCAACTCTGCAACAACCACAGAGGAATCTCGTTGTACAGCATCGCCGGAAAGATCTCCCTTAGTCTTCTCCTCAACTGTCTCAACAGCCATCTGGAATAGGGACTCCTGCCGGAGGGCCAGTGCAGCTTTTTCCGTCATCCCGACACCACCAACATGCTTTTCGCCGTCCGCTAACTGCAGGAGAACGGTCAGGAGATGCGGATTCATCTCTACCCTACCTTCGTGGATCTGACGAAAGTCTTTGACGCGGTTAATTGCGAAGGACTGTGGAAAATCATGCAGAAATCCTGCTGTTCCGAACGATTTACTGAGATGGTGCGTCTGTTCTACGATGATATGACGGTGGGCACCATGGACAATGGAACTATCGCATAGGCATTTGCAGTGGCCAAGGGAGTGAAGCAGGACTGAGTACTCGCGCCTACCCTCTTCAGTCTCATGTCCTCTGTCATGCTAATGGACGCCTACCGTGACAAACGCTCCAGAATCTGCTTCGCCTACAGGATGAACGGCCAGCTCTTCAATCAACGGCGAATGCTCTTCCAGTCGCGTGTATCCACAACTGCCGTCTATGAGATTCTTGTCACCAACGACTGCTCTCTCAACGCAACTACAGAAGGGGACATGCAAAAGAGCATGGATCTCTTCGGCTTCGCCTGTGAGAATTTCGTTCTGGTGATTAACACAGAGAAGACGGTTATCATGCATTAACCGCCACCGAACACAGCCCGAAATCGATGCGAACGGAAACCAAATGTAAGCATCGGACAGTTTCACGTATCTGGGCAGCACCCTCTCCAACGGCACCAAAATCGACGACGAAGTTGCCCGCCTCATTTCCAAAGCCAGTCGAGCCTTCGGCAGTCTGCAGAACACCGTCTGGAACTGTCACGGTCCACATCTCATCACGAAGCTGAAGACGTTCAAGACAGTCATCCTCCCAGCATGGCTGTATGGAGCGGAGGCCTGGAACAGGTGCGGAGACTAAACCACTTCCACCTTAGCTGTCTTCGGCGGATACTGAAGCTAAGGTGGCAGGACCGGATCCCCGACACTGGCGTACAGAAGAGCACGGAAATTCTCAGCATCTATGTCGTGCTGGGACATCTGCAACTGCGTTGGATCGGCTACCTCGTGCGGATGGACAAACAGAGGCTACCCAATCGACTCTTCTATGGAGATGCTGCCACGGGTGCCTGCCGCCAAGGAGGCGAAATCCGTCGATACGATGACACTCGGAAGACCTCCCTGAAGCATCTGCAGATCAATTCGATCAACTGGGGGGACCTCGCTCAAGACCAACTGGCCTGGAGGAGGACGGTGAAGAGATGCGCAGCGATCTACGAACGCAACCACATCATCGCCGCGAAAGCCAAACGAGAAGCATGCAAATCTCAGCTGCGCTCACTTCGCAAAGCCAACGTCCAACCGCCCCCAACGTGTCCACTGTGTCAGCAGACATTCCGGGAGCCAATTGGACTTCTTGGACAACTTCAGGCCAACTGCAGCACTCGAACTGCACCAACCGTCGTCTCTCCGTCCACATTTCCCTCGCCTTCTACGTTGTCAACTAATTCTGACCGCCCTCCCCAACCGCCACCTCCATCCTCCTCCTCCTCCTCCTCCTCCTCCTCCTACTACTACTACTACTACTACTACTACTACTACTACTGCCTCCACGTCTGCCGTTATGGCGTCTGCCACGCACATTAACATTACGCATAATCCTGACACACCGACAAACACCAACACCGTCACCGTCGACACGAGTTGTGAGAACATAGTCTACACCTGTACTTTATGCTACCGCCCCCTCACCTCACACGTCGGCCTGGTCGGTCACTTGCTAGTCGATCGCACAGAGACTGGCGAACCAATGCCTCGAGCACCAGCCTACACCCGGCCGCAGTCGCCTCCACTGCCCACACTGCTCTCGCACATTAATGCACCGTATGAGCTTCTTCGTCCACATTCGTGCCCATGAAAACCTGCGGCAGACGACTGCCGGCTGCGCCACACCATCACATCTCCTCTCACTAGCATCTCATCGCACATCAACATCACGCACAACAAGCACCACAATGCCACTTCCCGCGCAAGTGGGAAGTGTGCGCCTTGATTCCGTCCCCATGAGACTGCCCACTTGCATGTGTGACTCGACTCTGAGAATACCACTTCAAGCGCAGTGGCTTGGAGGGTTGCTGGTCGACGCCCCAACTCAGTCCACGCGGTTCGTCCAGTTGTGTGTGTGTGTTTGTTTGGAGTGGCGGACTGGTGGGTCGAGAACCAGGCTGCAACAGTTCCTTCTAAACGTGGCCCACGACACTCTCACGCATGTGAGATGTACGCCGCTCAACCCCCGCTGTGTGACATCCTGGTGTTTGTGTTCGGGGGACCAGGTTGGGCATGTGGCGTGCGCAGACAAGGTCGCTAGATACGTCAGCCACCGCGTCCATTCCCCTCATCAGTCAACTGACCAGCTCGGGCGGTGGCTGGGGTCTGGGAATGGGAAAGGAGAGTAAACTCGACGATTCAGCGCATTTTCCTCACTATAAACAATCTGACGCGCTTGAAGCTATCACGGTGCGTTAAAAGCCGTGACTTGGAAGGTTGTCAACTGACGGGATAACATGGACCTGGCAGTCGACCCAGTGCTGTGTGTTTGTGTGGAGTAGTCGACTGGTGGCCTGAGAGTCGGGCTGTAATGACTCCTTCTCTATGTGGTCTTTATGGCACTCTCACTGTGTGGGATCAGAATCGGGTGTGGCGGCACGCCTAGGCGCGGCTTCGGCCGAGCCAGCCTCCATTCTTTTGTCGTGGTTGGTTAAAATCCTGGACAAATGTGTGCTGTGGACTAGGGGATGTAGTGCGACGCCTAGGTGCGGGTCCGACCGTACCGGCCGTCTGCGCCTCCCGCCTCTGGTCTTCTTGACTCTGTCTTGACACCGTTTCCAGCTGGGGAGTGGGGAACAGGGGGTGCGGTAGACGCTGCGCAAGTCTACTATCACTACAGATTAATCCACACACAAGTCGCCGGGTATGTGTCACCGTTCAGTGGAGCACACGGTGAACATCGTCGGGCACGACGGTCGAACTGGTGTGTGGACTGATTTAGGCAGTGATGGCTTCGTTTTAATGTGCCCTCTATGGCACACCCACTCAGTAGGATTCGAGCCGCCCCCTATTCTCTTATTTTGTGCAAAATCCTGGTCAGTGTGCGTTGTGGACTAGCGGATGTACTAGTACTTCTAGCTGCGGGTCCGCCTGTGTCAGCCATCTGCGCCCTCTCTGTCCTCCGGTCTTCATGACTTTGCCTTGACACCGAGATCAGGCGGGGGAGAGAGTGCGGTAGATGCAAAGCAAATCCACCATCATTGTAAACTGATTTGCACGCAATTCACCGACTCTGCTTCCACGCTGTTGTAGAGCACACGGTGGGCATAATCGAAATCGACGGTCGAACTGTCATAGTTCGCGATGTTCGATAGAATATGGCCCGCGATCAAGATGCCCTATTTATTTTCTACCTCCGAAAGAAACTACAGTATGGTGGGGATGGAGCGGATCAAAAGAGCATGTCTGTGGCATGACATCGCACGGTGTCAAATTACTTGGATTGACGAGTCAAGATCAGCATTCCGACATTAGAAAAGGAACACCTTGCGTTCGGAATCCCTAATGTTGCTCACGAAACTCGTCGTCCAGATTGACAGTGGGTCTGACTGTTTACGGGGTCCCATCTCGGGAATGGAAGGGAAGATATGGTTTTGTAGCTCCACCTGATGGACACAATACTGTTGGCGTTGGGGCTAGGGGCTATGATTAAGGGTTAGGACAATATTTCTCAACCCCTCAAAGTACAACCACGCATTCCCAATAGCTTTTCTTTTGCACATAACTACTTGGCCTCGTCGTCTATGCGTTCCTCGGCCGCACCTGTAAAAACCCATATTACCACCGTCCCCGTATTACAGGTGGCCGCGGTTTATTTACTTTAGATGAAGCAGCATAACCAATCTGACAGAATGGGAAGAATGAGCTGGTCATTTTAGATCGGAGCGCAGCTGATGAAGAATACGTAAGCACCCAGGAGCCCAATTGGCTACCATGTGCAGCTGACATGAGCCACTGTCTCCGATAGCGTCGAACCTAAACGTTATCTTGCGGCAGGTCTAGGGATTAGGCATACTGTACATCCTCCGCAGGACGATTTTTCGACAGTGCGTTAGCTGTACTAAAGCCTTGACCCTACTGCCGTGGGTCTGAATCCCAACAAGGGCGCCGAGTTTTTCACAGTTAGGCCAGAATGAGATTGTTACTCGACAAAAAAATACATGGGATTATATAAGCCGCATGGTGCAGTTGATCCCAAAGGACTGCTAGCAGCACTGATCACGGTCTGAAAGCCCACAACCCTTGGTTCTACCAAATGCGTGATTACGAATATGACACGCCGAGTTGTTGTACTGTTAAAAGTAGGGCAGAGCAACATGCAGGATCAAAGCGCACCTGTACATGATCAATGGTAGATTGCTTTTGCATCAAAATTCGCAGTTGTGGCAAGTTTTGTCCTATGTATGCGTCGTCAGGCAGCCAATTTTGTCTCAAGACTCAGAGTGCGATGAAACTCGTCAGATACTATAGCCCTCAAGCTTACTTTGGACTTGCGGCACAAGGATATATGGCTTTCCTTCGTGCTCCCACCAGGTAAAATTACTGAGACAATCTAAACCACTCATAATTCGGTCTGCTACTTGATGCATTTTTGCTCGTGACCGATCTAACCGATCGCAGCTTTCACGTTTAGGCGACTCTCGATGCATTCGGAGTAAAAGAGACGCCCAGAGTTGGACGGATTTGTCTAAACACCTAAACATGGGGCTTGCAAATTAAGCGCAAAGCGCCCCAGCACCTTCGAATATCCTGCCTTCCATTGCGAGGTCATTCTTCTCGGAGTATAAACACGTCCGGTTGTTAGAACCTTTCAAGGACTCCGATCTGCAAAAACAGTTTGTACCGACCATTTGCGTGATCATAGCTGATACGTCTAGAAACCCAGTCGCATTTAGTTGCCATCGTGTTCTCTTATCGCTTCAGACGTGCGAAAGCCTACGTGACTCAAACAGCCAGAAGTATTTGGAATCTGCTAGGTAATGCAGGCTTAGTATCTACTCTCTGAAGTCAACACTTTTATCCACTTCAGGGGCGTTCAAACCCCCAAATGCGCCTTTGCATGGAATTTCGACCACAAACTAAACGCCACCAAAAACTAATTACGTTGTGGGTACATCTAGTTAGCTGGCACGTACTTCCGAAGCTCGTGCCGGGAGTTTGTCGTTCATATTCTGAATCAACCTGCCATGTTACTGAATGCACGTATCCGCCTGACTTCCAAGGACCAGAGACCTGGACATTTGACAGTCCGTAATTGTATCATGAAATGTCGATTAACAGAAGTGCTGCTACGCAGCAA